CCTCGAGCCTGGAGAAGCCCCACACTGCATCTCTTCCCTGAGAGTGCAGGTGTCTCCCTCATATATAACCCACCTGTCGCTAAGATAATTATCCATTATCCGCAACAAGTAGGGCGGCATGTTATTCTTTTTCATCGACTCGATGAGATCTTTCCATCTTGCGGAATTAAACGCGTTGCGTATTTCAATTGCTACCAACGCGCAGAAGCTCTTCTTTTTTCCAGGTCCCAATTTGTTTTCTCCTGCTTTGGCTATGTCCACAACTGCCTGAATGGCATTAACTGTGGACTTGTCTTTACGGAAACCAAATTGGTGATCCGATAGACTATTCTCTCCGGTCAAGTGGCTTTTCATTCTCTGCAGAACCATATCCTCTAGGAGTTTACCCATCGTATCCAACAGGCATATAGGCCTGTACGATGAAACCTTATCCAGAGGTTTTTCACCTTTCCTTAGGAGGACTAACCTCTGTCGCTTCCAGTCGCGGAAGAACTCTCCTCTCTCAAGGCAAAGATTAAAGCATTGAAGCAGAATCTGGAGTGAAGTGTCGATAACCAACTTTAGGATCTCGTTACTTATCCCATCGATTCCAGGCGCCTTGCCTGATTTCAATCTTTTGCCTGCTTTTTATAGTTCACTAAGTGTGAAGAGTTCTTCCTCTTCGACTTTGCAAAAACTCTAGTCCCTTTTAAGGTATGGCTCTGCAGGAGGAAACAAAGAATTTATTATCTTTCTGACCCAATCGGGATTGTCCAGGCCGGGGGTCTTTTGCCTCGTCGCTAATTTCTAAGTAACGATTTCAAAAGCCAGACCCCATGGGTCCTTATCGACTTCCTCGATTAGGTCCTTTCAGCTTATTATTATTATTATTATTATTATTATTATTATTATTATTATTATTATTATATAATAACAAAAATTCTCGGTCGAGCTTCAAGACTTGGGCTTTTTGCACACCTTTAATTTTCTGTTATTTTCGAATAATTCAAATATTTTTCAATTATTAACTTTCGGCCTTTTTTAAACGATTAAGTAATAGTCGGTCAAGGATTAACGTATGCTGACGTTCTGGGTAACCTTCGCAAAGAGGTCAACCCGGACGACTGCCATACGAGAATAGTAGCAGCAAAAGCTACAAAGAAGGGAGACCTTCTGATTAAGATCAGAGGAGGCTCCGACAAGGGCGCTTTCACCGCTGAGGTCACCAAAGCGGTTGGAAGCATGGGTAAGGTGCAGTCGTTGGATCGAAGAGTTACACTCGAGATCCGTGATTTGGATTGCCTTACTCAAGAAGCTGAGGTGCAACAAGTGTTGTCTGAGGCGCTGGGAACGCCAGGAAACAGAAGAGTGACGGTCTTAGGACCCAACCGCCGAGGGATGAAGCTCGCGGTTGTAGTCATCAACCCGGATGAGGCGAACAGGCTGGAGAAATTGGGACACGTAAAAATTGATTTTATGTGTTGCCCAATTTAAAAAAGAGTAATGGTCGTCCGGTGTCATAGATGCTTGGGATACGGTCATATTGGAGCGAAATGACAGAAGGTGGTCAGATCAGCTGCGTTCTTTAAGTGCGGTGAAGCCGGTCACAGATTCTCCAACTGTAAGAAGAGCTCAAGTTGATTTTTATGCAAGGAAAAGTTTGGCAATAAGGTGACAACCACCCATATTGCAGGCAGCGGAGGATGCGGTCTTCAGGACGGCCCTTGAGGAGGCGAAGAAGACTCTCGCAAGAACTAAAAGCAAATAAGAAGTATTAAAAGGAGCAAGTCGAGAACTTCGTAACCTCGGTTATGTCGAGGAAGGATCTCGACGGCCGCCAAAAGGCGTGATTTAAACAGCTTTTAATTTGTTTGTTTGTTCTTTATTCGTCTTTATACAGTTTTATCTTTTCAACATTATATACGTGTTTACTTTTTTTTCTTCTCTTTTTTATATCCGTTTACAATTTTATCTTTGACTTTTTACACTTCTTTGAAAATTTTTTTTTTATTATTTTTGTGCTATAAATTCCGCTTAGACTTTGAAAAAGTCAAAAAAAAAGAAATTTTTTTTAACTATTGACGCAGGAAAACCGCAGAGAGAAGAAGAAGGTCGCATTAGCGACAGAGTTGGAGCTCCACCCTCGAAGGCTAAAGTCTTACGACAGTTCCGAGGGAGGGTAAAGGGCTCCAAAAGAAGGGTTACGGGTTTTAGTGGGTCGGGCTGGAAGTAGGTCGCCAGTTTATTAAATTTACTATTTTATATATTTATTTTTTTTTGTTATATTTTCTTTTGTTTTATCATAACAACCCCACATAACCTTGGAGTGCGGAATCCAAGGTATCTGTAGGCCCTAAAAAACCCAAAAACGATTAGGTAATAAAAATATATGAGGCATTCCATTTCAAAACGACCCCCTTCGTAAACAATTGCCAATGTAAGACAATTTTTAAATGAATATTTCTTTCATTCTGTAGAACCAAATTACTTTTTATATTAGTGATTTCGAAAGTAGAATTTCTAAACTTTCTGATAATAAAAAAAAATATTTTTTTAACAATTTAATTTAAATAGAAAATTGAGTTTAAAAGTTAAACTTTGAAAAATCTCAAAACACGTTACCTCCGATTTTAATAAAATTCATATTAAACGAAAGCTTGAATATTCTTCTTTTTATTTATCAAACGATAATAATGGACATTTCAGTGGATTTTGAGAAAATAACTAAATTTTACAGACATTTAGAAGGTTATTATGCATAAATTGGGAAAAACAAATGCCGCCCTATACTTAATAAATGGTTTTCTCAATATAACCTTCGAAATGTTTGTGAAATTTAATTATTTTCTCAAAATCCACTGAAATGTCCATTATTGTCGTTTGATAAATAAAAAGAAGAATATTCAAGCTTTCGTTTAATATGAATTTTATTAAAATCGGAGGTAACGTGTTTTGAGATTTTTTAAAGTTTAACTTTTAAACTCAATTTTCTATTTAAATTAAATTATTAAAAAAATATATTTTTTTATTATCAGAAAGTTCAGAAATTCTACTCTCGAAATCACTAATATAAAAAGTAATTTGGTTCTACAGAATGGAAGAAGTATTCATTTAAAAATTGTCTTACATTGGCAATTGTTTACGAAGGGGGTCGTTTTGAAATGGAATGCCTCATATATTTAACTTGACAAATAATTGCTAAAAATAAATTAAATCATAAAAAATTTCTATCCATATTCAGGCAAAAAATTTTGGTAAAATAAAAATTTTTTATCTTCTTAGAATTTTTGTACAGTTATCTGTTTTTTAAACTTTTGAAATACTTTTTGTGATTACACATGTGCACCTATTTTTATTATTGATAGCAATTAATGTTAATTATATATTCACGCAAGAACGAGAAACAACATACGCGCTTCAACGTGCATTTTTTAGCTGGTTAAAATAAATAGTTATCAAAACAAAGAATTTTCTTCAAAGGCAGGGAAACAATAATTTATTTAGAATTACGTACTTTAAATTCAAGACGTTTTTTAATTTTTTCGTTGAATCAACGTTGGTAACTTCAGTTTCATAAAAAATTTGTAAGAAAAAAAATCTTTTATTAACCAGTAAATAATCCTAGTGATGTATTTTTACATATTAGTACCCGCGTATGCAAAAATGTCCTATTGCTGAAAGCTTGCACTGTAATCTTGCTACAAGATTATGATATAAGCTTGCTGTAAGCTTGTAAGGCAAGTTTTTGACAAGTTTCTTTGGCAAATTTGCTCCAAGCTGCCGGATAAATTAAGAAACTTGACACGATGCGCAGTTGAATTCTATGGCATTTACGTCTGAGCAGTAAATTTCTTTGTCATCTGCATATGTTGCTGAGTGTATATTTTGAAATTTATACGAAAATCTCCAGAAAAAATTAAAATTGATTCAATTAAATTATATATACTTGTGCAGCATGCTTGCAATAGGCTTACGGCAAACTTACAATACAAACTTGTAGCAAGTTTGCCAACTAAGCTTGCCGCAAACTTGCCTCAAAAGCTTGCAGCATGCTTATACCTAAGTAGAAATATACTACCAGCATAGTACTGATCCAGTACTGACTGACAGTATAGCAGTACTGGCAGAACACCGCCTAATTACTGATTCGCAGGTAAAATTTAACAAATTTGGTAAATACTGTAACGCGTTCTCTAAAACAAAATTTACCTTTAGAAGCTCATATGAATTTGATATTTGAATATTAAAAAATAGGGAGTAATTTATTGAATACTTATACTTTTTATTAATATTTCTGTAGTAAATAAACTTTTATGAGTAACAATAAAAATGTAAATAATTAGCAAAATTGCTTTCATTGAAATAAGTTTAAAAAAATATTTTTTCTTATTTTTTTTATTAATTTAGACAATCTTATTTATTTAAATTAATTACTAAATTATTATTATTGTTTATAATTATTTAAATTTTTATTTGATGTAACTCTGTTGAGAATTTTACACTAAACACTAAGAACTAAGACGGAAAAATATCGCATGCACGGGGAATCGAACCCTAGACCCCGAGGACACAAGTCGAATACACTAACCGCACAGCTACTCAAGCTTTAACGTGATTTTGGCAGGGACTCAGTTCAACCTTTTCTGATTACTCACAGACTGATACTACATGATTGATTCTACCAACTAGAATTTCGGTCTACATAGACTGAACCTCTGAATTTGACTCTCCAGTTTTCTCAGTGTAATTTTATTTTTTTCATAACTTCTAAAATTGTTATTTTCTAAGAATTTTTAACATGTAAAAAATATTCTATATTGAAAAAAAGATTTATTTCTAGGGTAATTTTAATTCGAAAATACATAGGTGTACCAAATTTTACTACTCAATGTCAAATTGTGTTGTCAATAAGCGAGCGGTGGTATAGCCATTTTCAGGCATTTTGATTAAAATTGTGTTTGGAAAATTTGTTATTTTAATATTATATATTAAATAACCATAATTTTTATTGTCTGTTACAGTAGGTTCTTGAAATCAATAGTCAGTATTAAAAAGAGAACAGCAATGCCAAGAACACCTGATGTAAGTATTATCGTTTTTTGTCTCTAATCTTAATCTTGTTCTGGTAAATAGTAGTCGATGTTAGTGTAACTTATATTTTTCTCAAATAATAACTTTGTTTTAAATAAATCTAAAAATACAATAAAATAAAGTTATCAAAAATTAATGAAAATTTAAGGTTACCTGTGTAAAAATTTGGAACAGGATGCAGTAAGGTTTAGTGAGGCGCAAATTAAGAAAATTAGTCAGGGCACGTCTAATTTCGTCACGCTTCGAAAAATAGGCGATGATATAAATTTTTTTGTAAAATTTAACAATCTACAATAAATATATTTTCTATAACACCTTATTTCAAAAACTCGACTAAAGTGCCGTTTTAGACGCACTAGTGCGAGAAAAGAGGAGAGGTAGCAGATTCTCGAATAGTTCCTCCCACCTTTCATGCTACTAAAGCACTGTTACCAACCTAACATAGTAATAACACAAAAAAGAATTAAATAAAAATTTTGTTATTTTATACCATTTGTGCAACTTTTTATTTTTAAGACTACGTGAAATTTCATAAAATTTTCATGTTTGTGATGCTAATGTATCTGTTAATGTAAGCAGAAATAAATTTTCAAATTCTTTTTCTAAAATAAATATTTCCAAGCAACTTGTTATATTCTAATATTTTACTTTTACTACTAATTTAAGTAATTAAATTCTAATATTTTTAATTCATAACCTGACTCTATTCCACGGTGGTCTAGAAGCAGTCACAGGTATGGCAAAAATGGGTATGAAAAGTGCAATGTGGATCTTTTTCGTGACTATTTCTAGTTTAAAAATCCGTTTCGACCGAAATCCTAGAGCCCCTTTTCTCAAGATATCGTCATTTCCGTTTTTCAATCTTTTTGCTCTAAATCAGACGAAATGCGCCTTCTCAACAAAATTTTAAAGATTTTTTTAAATTTCTTATTAAAAATATATTAAAGATGTATATTTTGATTAATAATTTTGTTTATTAAAATGTTACGAATAATTTTGAGTTTTATATATTTAATTGAGTGAAAGGTAAACAGAAAAAACGGTTATTGTCAGATGTTAGAAAAAGTAAAGTTAAGTAAAAGTTTAAAAAGTATTTATTAATAATCAATATTTGAACAGTAAACTATAAAAAACTCAAATGTATTTAGGTGAAAATTCCACACTGCCTGCTTCAACTTCTTCGAATACAATTTATGGTCAATCTTGTTAATTTTGTACTTACTCCAAAATTGGACCCAAAAAAACTCGGTGTATCGATTCGCCACTTTGTTCTGACCAGTTACCTAAACCATCTCCATCCAGAAATTGTAAGCAAGATTTCCATAAATTTCTGGATCATTTAGTTTGTCAGACTCTTTCAATAGTTTTCTGCATGCATTGACCTAAAAAATTTCGCCTTGATACTCTTTTGGCACGCGCCTTATTTTAGAGGGCCAAAGCAATGCCTTTTCCTTACCAAGCAAATTAACAAGTCCATTCCAAAAAAAGTGATTCACAAAACCTTGTAAAATATGCAGCTCGGGGATAACGCACTTCTGAATCACGCAAACATCATCGTCTTCAATAAACAATGGAGGATTTACTGTACTATGGGATTTTTTTGCTAACTTCTTATTAGCTCACAAACTACAAAACTTGTCATAGTCCTTCTTTAAATGTCCATAAGTTTTTAAATCAGAAGAAACGTGATTAACACTGCAATCGCAAGCTACTTCAGCCTCCACTTTATTTCGTAAATTAGCTAATGGTATGAAGCAGAAGGGACAAGGAAACGATGCTGATGCTGTTTGCTGCCCGTTAACGATAAGCAAAAGCTTAAAATCCGAAGCAAACTTGAATGGAATGTTATTTAGCTTTGTTAAATCAAATAAAATCTTAATATTGTCGTATGTCTCTGCTATTTGAGGAACTATGGACAAGATAATTAATCTGTTAACACGTAGTCAGCATACTTTTTTGTCCAGTTGTGCCTCCTTCCGGATATAAATGTCTTCTTTTTGTATCATTTTCTTGATTTCCATAATCGTCTGAGAGCACTGACATGATAACTTTGAAAAATCCTTGACCTCCATCTGCCATTACTTTAACATTAACATTCCCGATGATTTTTCGTTTTGTGATCATACTGTCTAGCAATTCTTCAGCATCGGCATAAATTACAGGCTTTTTTGTTTAGTAGCACAACTTTTGACATCGAATTCTAGTACTTCTTCTTTATAAATATCCTCGAGAATTTTTGAATGTTTAGTCATTTGCGTTTCATAATAAGCAGGTACGGATTTCCTACTTTTAGAAAATATTATGTGAACGAAATTTATATCGCTATCAATTTTAAAAAAGTAAATAATTAAATAAATATCAATAAATGCACATATGATCAAGCGTGTGAGATATATGTCGCAAGCATTTAATAAACTAATGAAATAATTTTCTTATTGACTTGAAAAATTATATATTAAACAAATTTCTTTTAGACAAGGTCTTCACATCCATAAATGATGTTATACAAGATGATCACACTCGAGATAATGTGACCATCTTTATAGGACCATCAGGGTCTGGAAAAACGAGACTATTAAGTTCTATCGTAAAGGAGATGAAGGATTTGTATTATTTACGGTAAGTTCATTTGCATTACAAATAAATATGTGCATTAGTATAATTTAGTAGTTAAACATGCGCAGAACTGTAATTTAGTAGTTACACATGCGCAGTAGTGTAATTTATTAGTTAAACATGCGCAGTAGTACAATTTAGTAGTTAAAATATGCGCAGTAGTGCAATTTAGTAGTTATACATGCACAGTTGTATAGTATGATATTTACGTATGTGCAGTAATGTACTTTCGTTGCGCATACGCAGAAGTGTAGTATGATATTAAAATATGCGTAGTTTTACAATTTAGTATTTATCCATGCGCAGAAGTGAGGTATATTATTTATGTGTGCCCAGTAGTATACTATGATACATCTGCTGCTTAACTTTAAATAAATAAATTTTTGTTTTTACAAGAAGTGCGGATAAGCATCATGAGCTGCCAACAAATAATTGAAGCAGCATTTCTATGTTTCAATATTTACGACACGTTGTAATTGGTCATTACACTTTGGCTTAAAAATAAATATTTAAAAATTTACGGACGAAAAACCTATTTTGTTCCATTGACTGCAATGCATTGCTTGTCCTGCAATAAAACAGCCCTATTGGATTTCCCCCACCTAACTTGAAGTACCCAATTCTCGCAGAGAGAATCGTAATTATTATTAAAAGTAATTGGGAATAAAAATTAAAACCCTACTAGCATTGTTTTTGTGTTCAAAAGGTAAGTTTGAAACAAAAATTTTTTGTGACGAAAAATATTAAATCTTAATAAAATAAAATTTGTTTATTTATATACAAAAATTAAAAAAGCACTTTAAGCATGAAATTTCAAGTTGAAAAAACTTTTACTTACTCTTATAACCTTACTGAATAGTAAGTTAAAGATCTTTCTGAAATGAAGAAAAATACGCTATGGAAATTCCATGGATTTTTTGTTGAGATTCCATGGAAATACTGCAAGTTTTTTATTTTAATATTTTCACATTTCTATTGTGATTTGGGTCTAATAATAAGCCGAAATACAGAGGTACTCAGATCATTTTTAGAATTTATTTCGGTTTCAAAAATAATTATGTCTTGAAAAAGGGCGTTGGTCTTGACAATTTTTTAAAACAATTTTTAGAGTCGATTATCAAATTTTAGCTTTTCTTTATCATGTAAAGCTCTACGCAGCTGCAGTTTTTAATTAATAACTTTTTTCCTAATTAAGGCTCATTTTTTTTTCAAAACAGTTTTACACTCGGAGACGTTTAAGGAATATAATACAATTTTTATTTTTTTGTTAGGGCGTGAAGAACATATTTGTTTATTAACATTTTATAAACAAATAATGTAAAATATTATAAAAAATAAAAAAATTTAAAAACAAAAAATATATTCGAATAGTGCAATTCAAGACGAAAAACACCCATATTTTAAATTTTAAATCCGTGAACTGGAACTCGAGAAAAAAATTTGTTAATTTAGCAGTACTAAAAAATTCAATTGTTAATAACTTTTACAACAAATTTTTTTTGGATTAATATTTTTAGGGATTCTTCTTAACCATATCAGGAGTAAAAAAATATATTGGTTCAAAAAGAAAATTTTTTAGTTCTAGGTAATCCGTTTGAGAAATTCTGACCCTTATACAACTTTAAAATCCATTGATATGGGTAAAAGATATTGCCATTTAAAATAATACTGAAAAAATTGAGTCCCTGATAACATGGCAACCACGCATTACACAGACCTAAAAACTTACTATACATACTTGTTTTCATGTTTTCGTATTTCTCTAAACGTACACTGTATTTAACGATATTTTACGAGTCTTGAATCTTGTCTTGGTCTTGACAGTTACTGTCTCGTCTCTTCTTGAATAAACAAGACGAGAAAAAAGTTCATCTTGGTCTTGGTCTTGACGATGATTGTCTCGTCTCGAAAATCTCGAGTCTTGCGGCATCACTATATATGAGCCAACTTTCCCGTGTACGCCAAAGCGGATATATAAACTGTTTTTGTTAAATACCAACACTTCCAAAAAGAAATTTTTTTAGGGTAACTGTTTTTGTTAAATACCAACACTTCCAAAAAGAAATTTTTTTAGGGTGGCTTTTATGTTAGAGAATAATATAATATTCAATATAATAAATTAAATGAAAAAATGGATCCCAGTAAGAATGTACTTGGTAAAATTAATTTTCAAAACTTTTTTTACAGCTCTGCAATTGACTCAAGGGCGAATTAGAGAAATCGATGATTAAAAATTCTCCTTCGCACGGTCCGACTCTTTTTTTAATATCTTAGGAACCCGTGAATATTTTTTGCTGTTCTTGGTCCCTATTTAAAGCTTAGGTTATAAGGAATAGTCTGTGAAAGTAACAATTTTTTCATCAACTTTTCTAATTTTTGACAGGAGTCAAAATAAGGGGAAGAAATTCCGAGAAAATAGAAATCACTGTGTGACAGTAAAATGGCACTTTAAATCGGACCTATCCTATCTTGTTCGTCTTGAAAAACTAAAAAAAGTAGTATGTTTGAAATTTTCCAAACGCCCCCAAAATTTAATTTTTGGGGCAAAAAATCGTTTCTTGTGTATTCATGTAAAGAATTACTCGTAACTTCCGTAATTTTTAACCGATTTTCAAAATTGTTCTTTTATTTTAAAGGGGAAAAGCACACCTTTTTAACCGTGTATTGCTTGTTTACTCAAAGTAAATATTGACAAAACCGCAGTTAAAAACATTTGCGATTTATTGATTTTCATTCCATTTTTTTCAACTTCAACGAGGTTTTTAGGATAGTATTCGAATTTACAGATTTTTTCATAATAATTTCTTAAAAGTATACTTAATTCTACGTGAAATGAGTATTTTTTGAAAAAATTTTAATACAAATTGAGGGAGATACGTTAATTTTAAGATTTAAAAAATTTTTCCCCAAAGTTACAAATATTTCCATTTTGCTGTGGAATTTACATCAGGGCATTTTAAATTTTGTGTTCACTAAATTTAATTGTTTAACTAAAACGGCATGCATGTCAAAGTTGTTTTTGATAGATTTAAATAAAGACAGAGTCCGTATTTAGAGGGGGGTCCGGTTAAATTTTAACTTTTCTATAATTTATATTGTTTAAGTTTGTGAATGTTTTTCAAACATTATTTAGGATTCATATCTATTTTATAATCTTCAAATAAAGAATAACATATAATTATTTGACAATTTATTTATATAAGAATGCCTTAAAATTTTGTAAAATATAAATTTGAACTTCTACCACATTTCTTAATTATTTTTTATTGTCGAATTTTTTTAAATGATGTAATATACGTTCTCGTAGTAGTTTTTTGCGTCGAATCGAATGACGCTATTAGTTTTTTATGAAAATTAATTTTTTTTCATTTGTATATAACAAATTGTTAAAAAAAAATTTTAATTTTTAACGTCAAAAATTATCATTAGACCCCATGCCAGGATCCCAATAGTTTCTTTTTATATCACACGGAGAAAAAAGAATAATCAAATTTACCCTGAGGAGTGTCAAATTTGAAAAAGTTGATACTCTTCTGTTTAGAACTTAACCTGAGGAGTGTTAAATTTACATTCGTCATAGTAAGTTTAATTATCCTTAATTTTCCTTTTTTCTCCGTGCAGCGTTCCTGTGCCCATGAGCATTAATGGGTTAAAAAAGGAAAATAATGTTTATAAGAAAATTTAAAATATATTGTTATACTGTTTATAATAATAATATATGTATAAGTATATAATTAATAAATGTATTAGGGGCGAGCAGTAAAGGTCATATCATCTTTAAAATACACTGATATAGGCGCTGCTTATTGTTAGTTAGCGCAACGCATAAAAACTCGTAGCGCAAACTTCAAAATTTTTTTCTCAAAAGCATCAAAAATCACTTCTTTAAAAATTTAACCACTTATTAAGGAAGGTTTAAATTTAGAGAAAATAATTTTTCTAGAAAATTTCAGGATGTCCTTTTCTTTTTTTTAACAATAAAAAATTATTATTTAAACAAATTATTGAAAAATTAATTTTTCCTAACTTTTTTTTAATATTATAAAAAATTGACATTTTCTCTACAATTTTGAATAAATGACTTTTCTTGTATAATCAATAGTTTTCGAAATAAAAATTCTCAAAAAAAGTCATTTTTTTCAGTTTCCAATTTTTCAAATCTAAATATCTTTGAAAAAATTTTTTTTTTTGCAAAACTGTTTGGCACAGTTATTTAGTACCGCTAGTACATCAAAATTAAAATCTTTAAGAAAAATCGGTGATCCACCATTTGCTTTTCATATGGAACTGCCCTATATCAACTCTGTAAAAAGTTCTACGATTTTGTTACAAAAACCAACAGTTTTTCACACTGTGCGGCGACAATGCTATAATGTAGTGCAAGCGTTACTAACATATAGGGCAAAATTCCTCAACTGCCAAGGTCAAAAAATGAATTTTCTCTTAACTTTGATAAAATGTTGTTGATGGTTATCCACTGCCAAACATCATAGATTTCTTTGATATGTTGGGCAGTGCTTGTTCACTGCCAAATGTGACTGTCATCATGGATATATTTGGTAGATCTTGTCGTGGTGTTTTTTCTCTTTCTTTCAACTTCTTGAAAACAATTTAAACTTGAGGAATTTGATATTCTATCAAGTAGAAATGTGACTCAAAATCATTTTTGACTTTTTTGAAAATTTTAAGAAGGTAGAGAGGATCAATTTTACCAATTTTGCTAACACAGGATACTTTATTAAATTTTTTTAACATACTTGTAATAATGGAAAATTTTTTGTAAAATATGTTTCTGGAAGTTTTTTTCCTTTTTCCAATAATGAATTTTATTTTTTAATATTTTAAAAATTAACCATAATTTTTTATAATTAATATTTAATTTTCTGATTCCCAAAAATCTGTCCGTTTTATTTGAAAATAAAATACTGCCAACGAAAGCTGAGGTTTTTTCCTAT